ATTATTTTTAAAATTTTAATTTTTTAATATTAAAAGTAAAAATAAATAAAATACCTAAATCCTAATACCCTATTAGTTTCACTTTCTTTTAACTTTTCCTCTTCTCCACTCTTCCTCTCCCTTTTTTCATCTCAAGCTCTTTGGTCCTTCTCTTTAGTGGCACTCCTGTAAAAAATTAGATTATGTGACATATAATAAACTAACATCATGCAACACTATTAAAAATATCTTCTTTTTTTTTTTTAACAATAAGAAGTAAGAATGCTTACTAAAAATCAAAACCTAGTGTTTGATTTACCCTCATCACTATTAGAAGTACAAAAACAAGAACATTAAAGTTAATTCTTTGTTGCTAATTTGTTTTTAGTTAATAATTTATTCCTAATTAATAAAAATCAATCATGATCTAGTTTCTTCTTATATTTGTTTAGGCATATTCTAGATTTTTTTTTTGAATTTTAATATTGAATAGGGTTATATTTTTTTGTATAATATCCTTCTAAATATTAAATAAAGTTGTATTTTTTGTATAATACCGATATAAATATTGACTAAGTACTAGATATTAACATATATATTAGAGTTGTCTTTTGAATTCTAGTCTTTTGAATTCTAATCTTTCGTACCTTTTTTTTTAATAAAAGTTAATTCTTTTATAAAATTATGAATTCTAAATATTATATATGCATTATATATTTGACATATATTTTAATTTAACCTATGTAATCAATAATCTTTCCCCTTTCTTTTGACAAGATTGGAGTGAAAATTGAATCCTAAAATGAATATCAGCATTTAATAGAGTTTTTCAACTAAATAGTTAATTAGTATTAGACTTTATTAAAAAAAATAGAGATAAGTATGAAAAATTTTTAATTTTAATTTGTTAAAAAATTGGGTCCACCCGGTCTAATCTAATACCTGTGTTGATGATTATGAATCTATCTCCTTAATCCGATACCTAAAATAATCCAAAATTGAAGATGATCTAATCCAAACGTCCCACATCTCACCTATTTGCCAGGTCTATTCAAAGTAATAATAGCTCAATTGCTAATGGACTTAATAATTCAACCATTTTCTGTGTTGTTTATTTCCTTATTATTTATAAGATTTTTTTTTTTATATTTGTTGGGCCATTTGGGCTTTTAAACCCACTAATCTTCGGCCCTGTCCATGTTTCCAATTACCAAAAAAGAGGGAGGGAAAATCAGGTTGAAATCTCTAGAATAGAACATCATCGTGGGTTTTGTTAGGGTTTTAGAAAAGACGACCTCATTTCCGGCGATTTCTTCTACCTATTTTCACTCATGAACAATTTTCTGGTAATTTTCATTTAATTTTATGTCCCTTAATCCTTATTCACTTTTAATATCAAA